CAAAGTCGCGCGGCTGCTTCTTCAAACTGGGACTCATGCTGCGATCGGCGATGGATGCGTCGTTGGAGTCGCCCAAGCTAAAGCTGGTGCTACCCATCATCTTCTTCCTCGGGCTTTTGGCGCCGCCGCCAAAGTTTGGTGTGCGTCGGCCGACGGCGCTGTTGTTGCTCCCGCTGCCACCAATGGCCGTAATCCCCGAGGCGTGCAGTATCCGTCCGAAGAATGGTTTGAGGGCGGGGGCCGAGGCGCACACAATGGCCAGTTCGGCTTCGACGGCGGTCCATAGCCAGCAGGGTTGTGCGGCCCACGTGATGTCGTAGGTGGTGTAGAACAACAGGCGAATGTAGTAGATGCGTAAGATTCCCGTTACGCAGAGACTTGCCACGTTGGAGGTTAGCACGACCAGTGGCACCATCGGAATGCGGGTTAGGGCTGGACAATTGACCGGCGCATGAAAAAAGGACTTACAAGATTCCGACGCCAAACACGGCGGTCAGCGCAATCTTTTGCCGTCGCGACATTTGCAGCTTGCGCAACAGCAAGTAGGGCAAGCCACAGGCGAGAAAGTCTTGCACGATGCTGACGGAGCTGGCGGCTAGCAGGTTGCCGGGCTCATTAATGCAGTGCCACTTGCCCTTGTTGGTCACGAGCCAGTCGATGTCGACTTGGTTCCAAAAGGCGCTGATGGGGCTGCAGCCGAAAAAGAGGGTTCCGAGGAACGCAATCATGTAGGCAATGACAAAGGCGATGCTGGTCCAGGTGGTGTACAGGAACCAGTTGGCGACCGTGCCAGAAGCGATGCGCCGGTAGAAACAGAGGATGGAAATTTTGGTGATGCCGGTTGCGATGATATACGTGGCTTCGATGGCCATTGTGATCTGCCATTTGTTAGTTGTAATCGCGCATCTCGACGCCAGACTTGCCTCTCGTGACTGAACACCCAATGTTGGCGTGAGGTCCCAAATATGTCGGTCAAATCCATACAGTCGGCTGCCTAGAGGATGTTAGTTCGTTCGAGAAGGGATGAACAAGCCACTGACCTAGCATTACAGATATTGCAAGTCCAGAGGTAAAGATCTGGGCAAATTAGCACAGGCGACTAGCGATGCTCGACTCGACAAACCAGAGCTACTAAAATGAGGGCATCGTCAAGGCCAGAGTTCCGATTGACCATGACTCGGGCCCATAATCGCGCGGCCACCGTGGCATAGGCGAGGACGCCAAACAGGGTGACGATGATGACAATGGACCAGTCCCTGCGCTCTCCGTGAGGAAACTGATCCGTCTGCCAGGCATGGTAGAGGTCAAGCGGGGGGTGTAGGCCGCCAGGCATGCTGAGGGCCTGGCAACGTAAGGGACATGTGCTGGGAGGTGGTAGAGGCTGAGGGTGGATAATGACGACGAAGGAAAGTTGAAGGATTCTTGAGAGAAAGAGCTGGCACGGCGACCGTTGGCCTTGGCCAGATTCGGCTGCATAGAGTGGTGGTACAAGTAGATGAGCAAGTCCTGTGCTCTCGAGGCGTGGGTTACAGACGCGGGATCAGCGAGTGGTACAGGAACAGCGAGCGGAACTGGGCCTAGTCCTCCACGTGTAGCAAAGGAAGAGAATGTAGCCCGGCTATGTTGCCGCCCTATAACATCAGTGGTTTGAACGGCGGCACGAAGGATGGACGGATGGATGGTCGGCGATTATTTTCAGCAGAGCAGGCCTCGGGAAACAAGGAAGGGCGCGGCCAGGAATGCATGCCATATGGATGCCAGCCACTGCGGGCTCCAGCAACCGGGATGCCCTCCGCGTCGCGTTGCTTTTGCATGCTCGCCACGGGTCAGCTGTCGACTGCGAGTATCTAAGGCAAGGAGGCGACGCAGCCGTGGGCCGCGACGGGTATGGTGCTGTGAGAGAGTGGGCTAGTCGACGGGTTGACGAGGATGGCGATGGTTTTGTCGATGGGTGTTGTCGTTGAGGTCGTGGTGTGGAGACGAGATGTGGCGGCGGATCGCCTGGGACGGTCCGGCCGACCACTCAACTCCATGTTGTTCATGGATCGATCCTTGACGCAAAAAAGCTGCCCAACTGGGTTTCCTGCATCCCATACGATCAAACACCGGTCCAGTCGTTGCTTTTCCAATGAGATGCCTCACCTCCCCTCAACGCTCGACGACCCGCAATCTTGTGTTGCAGCGCGATGCCAGATGAAAAAAGGCAACCCGTCTGCCACAAATTACTCAAGGTTGTTGAGTGCGTCATCTATGGACCGTCCCGCTACCTAGTTCCCTTTTCCCTGCCTCTCGCGACTTTTTTCTTCGACCAAGACACTCGACGCCATGGTCCATCTCCTCCACGTGCTGCCGAGTCCAACTCTACTCCACACCCCAAAAAACACTGTCCGGCCAAGCCATGGTACAAGCCTCACGACCTCGGCAGGTTTCCGTGTACGAGCGTGTCGCAAATCTACGACCGCGGCGAAAAAGCACCACCGGCGTTCCAACCCGATGCCTCCTCCTCTACTTCTTTCCCGCTGAACCCAGCCATCTCTTTCTCTTACCAAGCTTCTGCCACCATCTGCAAACCGCTTCTTTCTCTCTCTTACGCCTTTGTTGTCGCTGCTGCTGCTGCTGCATCGGCTCTCTCGTGCGACAAACGTCCCCTGATCAGCGTGGTTGGCCATTTCCGGTCGCGTGAAACCACCACACCACACCAGTCTGACTTTTACAGTGCAACATTCCCAAAATGGGGCATGGGATGGGGGCCGTGCGAGACATTTCACGACATTGCCCTGCTGCCCGCTCGTCGCCGATATGGTGCGGAATCTCCAAATCCGACCTATGCTGGTGGCCACGCGGGAGAAAAACGGCGTTTGCGCGACTTGATCTCATCTCCTCCATCGTATGAGGTGTGTGTGTGTGTGTGTGTGTGTGTGTGTGTGTTTGCGCAAAGACTGCCGATCTTTCGCCATGGGGTCTGTCGACACCTGGCAAACACCCGTTCAATTCTGGTCTTGCCATCTGTGGCAAAGTTCCAAACGCATAATGTGATGATGTTTTTGTTGGCAGTAACGACAGCTTGCTCCAAGGATGACCTCGCTATCTAGGTAGTCTCCGCATCTCACAACATGAACACATGCGGTTGGTTTCTGCTAGGCCGCAAATCGCGACAACAAACGTTGCTCGTCAGCCAATGGCCGACCGAGAAGCTGGCTGCTCTGCAATCTCGACCACCTCATGAATACAATAGCGTCTTTACCGACAAGCGAATCAAACCGACCAGCCATCCGTTCCATCACCACACCACACCTCTCGCTCAAGTCTCGCGCTTCGAAACCACGGCGCTCGACGCCGACGCCGTCGCCGTCGCCGTCGCCTCTCACTCACTACTGCAACCGCGTCGATCCCAACCAACACCAACCAAGGCTTGCTAGGCTAGCCTGCCGGCCAGCCTCTCCATGTACTTCACGACTGTGTCGATGATCGTCTGGTAAACAGCGCCTGATCGACTGCGCCAATCGCTATCGCCTACTTCTCGCCTCGTTGTGACGACGGCGGCGATCAAAACCCTTGGTGTAATCGGCACTACCTGACCACCTACCTCCGACCATGACCATGACCATGACCATGCCTGCCAGTCTGGCTACCTTACCTACCTACTACCTACCTACCAGCTACGCACACAATCCCACCACCATCCATCCATCCCGCCCTGTCCACACAGTCCCAGAATAGGTCCCCGGGTTTTTCAGCTCCCGGCTACCCTAGGTACCTAACCTACCTAGACTCAGCATCTAGCGCCAGGAACAAAAGGTCAACCTGCCATGTCACGCTTATTGAGCGACAGAATGACAGACAGATGCATCCTGCCGGGTCCTTCCTTCCTTCCTTCCTTCCTTCCTTCCTTTGTCCCGCCGCCCTGCTTGCTTGCTTGCTTGCTTGCTTTCTTGCTTACCTCGTGCTGCTTGCCTGTCTGTCTGCCTTGGGTTCCTGCCTCCTTCATGCTGCATCCACTACCTATGCGTCCACGCCGCAAAGCATTATTTCCTCTCTAGGCAGGCTGCTGTCCCAAAGAGGAAATGTGTTGGCGGCAATCCACCATCAAACGTCTAGAGCAACGAATTCAAACCAAGGAACGCACGGTCCACGCCCCGCACTTGTCCCAAAACGGGCAAAATTGGACGTCTGGGCGAATGAAATGAATTCAACGCCTGCCCACGCGCGGTCCTGGGTCTTCATTCGCGCCTCTGCTGCACCCATTTCCGTACGGAAGGGATTGGGCGAAACTGAGTCCACTGCGCTGGATGATGACATGGAATGGCAATTTCTGAACGAGACGGAACTTTCGAATTGAATTGCTCGCTGTCCGACTTGGAGTCCAGTTAAGGGTCCAACGCAAATGATTCGCCCGAGTGGTTGAATGGGTTTTCGGCCGAGAGTCCAACGCAGATCCACGATCGGGCACATGGTGATTCAATTGAGCCTCCGGATGGATTTCTGATTGGACGTACTAGAAGTGGTCCCGAGCGGGCTTCCGAATGGACGTTCAATGGCGAAGGGCATCCTGAATTTTCCTCTTTTTGGCAACTCACATACTCAGAGGGTCTTGAAAGAGATGGTGAGTTGAAACGAAGCAACTATTCAGCTCAGTAAAGGAAAGGAAAAAATAAAAAAAATTGAAAAAAAAAAAAATCCTAAGAGCTGAAAACGGGGGATTTAGAGGAACGGAGAGCCGACAGAGAAAATCTTCACCTACCTACCTACCGTGCAGACTGTATCTCAGCATTTGCCGCAACCTTTTGCACCGAGCTCCGATCGCTCAGGTGGCCCGCGTTCTGTCCTCACCAATGTACCTTGAAAGCAGTAGCCATTGGAATTGGCACTGCGCCACAGGCAGGGATTCAGCCGTGCCCCGTCGGTTCCCAGCCTCAGATATCGCAATCAGCAGCTCCAAGAGGCCAAACGAGAGCAGTCAGTGACATGCCCACCAGCAGAGACTCGCTTAGCAATCAGAGTCCATCGTGGTACAGTGGTAGCACGCCAGGCCAGACATGCGCTCACGCCGCATTGCTTACGAGTGTGCCACCCTGAGGTACGGGAGTGTCTGTTAACGCAGCCTTGTTGAGCTTGGGTGAGTTGCGTGGTGCGGGCTTGCCTATCTGAAAACCCGAGTTCAACTCTCGGCGATGGAGTAGCTTTTTTTTTTTTTTTTTTTTTTTTTTTTTTTTTTTGAGCTTGGACAGAAGGAGGAATTTTTTGTACCAATGAAACCAAAGATTGCTCGATGATGGTGCAGCGCAGTATACTACAAAGTACTTCAGAGGGAGGAAGGGGAAGTGAGAAGTCGGCGAGTATCGAAGTCGCCGTGAGTGACGGCGGTCGGTGAGAGGCAGCGGTTGCCGAATAGAGCAACCTCAAGACCGCTATCAGGATCAAGGGCGACCTTCCAGTCCAGAACGAGCGAGAATGTGCGGTGAACTATGACCACGGGAAGGAGGCGTCAGTCAACATCTCCCCGTGGGCTCGAGCGTCAACCAGCGGCAACTAGCCATGCGGAAATTGGTCCGCGCCAGCAATCTGAGACCAAACTCGTCCTTGTTGCGGCTGCGCTTTCAATCAGATTCTGCGCAGTCGTTGCCCAGACTTTGCCGCATCGAGAGAAGGACCAAGTCGGGCTGGACCTGTCTAGCCAAGCAGGACTCAGCGGTGAGTTGTGGAAATGCGTTACGACTGAGACATGCAGCGTGTGTCCGATGCTTGTTCGGGCCCGGGGCGTTGTTGAGGTCGTATTCGAGAGCGAACGTGTTGTGGCGTATACGGACAGTATGAAAAATGGCGAGTCTTCGCTGGAGCGCCTGCTCGGAGATGAAGAACAATTGAATACAAGTCGAAATTGATACACCACTCTGGCGAAATGTCGACAGTCGCGCGCTTGCTTGTGGAGAGGTTGACTTGTCAAATTGTCTGGGGCGGCAAAGAACAGACGCCAATGAAAGATCAGGCTCCCGATCCCCCGCTTCGATTTATTTTTGCTGGGCCGGAGATGTGCCCTCTCACCGGATTTTGAATCGTGTCGCTCCAAAGCTCGTGAGCACGGAGTCGACTTGGTCTGGTTGGCGCTGAGGCTCAAGGTTCGAGATGCAATGCTTTTCAAAGAGAAGATACTAAGACCCTTGAATCGATCTGGTGATCCTTGTTCATTGGTCATCGTATACGCACCAAAAATTCAAGAAGCAGTCGTTCGTGAAGCGGTTCAAGGCGCGTGTCCGGCCATGGTGAGCCTCGGGTTATTCAGGGCTCGGGATCACTGGACGGCTCAGGCTCTGGCGAGAAAAAGGAGACGAGGCGAAGATCGTGATTACTCGAGTGGTCGGAGCAGGGTCGATTTGCAGTAATTGCTTGGACGGTGGAGGAAAAGGGGAGACGGCTCCATTGCCAAAAAGAGGACGTTCATTTGTCGGCACGGGCCAATTATGCTCCGGCCCGAGACTGCCCAGCCGTCTGCGGTGCCGACAAACTCCAACGTCACGTCGTTCCTAGATTCTCTCCCCACGACCTCAGGACCCAATACCACCCCCTGATCCTGATAGGGCTGCTCGCCGATACGCAGCGGCCCCCTCGTGCCCCCGCTCCGCCATCTAGAAGCTCCATTTCGGGGATCCAGCTCCCACAATGCCCAGGAACAGGGAGCGACCGGCATCCGCTTGCCCACTTCCCATGATGAGATTAGGATGTCGTTGCCACTCGGTCGTGATTTGTTGGTCCCCGGCTGCTATGAGTATGATCGTCTCTTGTCTGCTCGTCGTCGCCGGGTCTATATAGAGGCCTGACTCTCCTTGTCGTCTTTCTCTCTTCTTCACCCAACTCACTCCAGACGAGCGTTTCCCAGTTCTTTTTTTTTTTCCGACCTTTTTCACTCTTTTGAAAGGATCGGGTCTGCTCGTCGATTAATTTTCACACTCGTTAATCCTTAATCCCCCCCACCCAAAAAAAAAAAAACATACGCAATGGCTTACCGTAAGGCTTTTGCGGCCGCCGTGCTCGCCTCTGGCGCCTCGGCCAACCTTCTCGACCTGGGCGTCAATGCCGACCTCCTTGGCCTCAACGCCGCAGCAACTGCTGGCGTTGGTTTGGCTAGTGGCGTCGCCGCTACGGCTGGCATCAATTTGGGTGGTACTCCCACGACCACCGCCACTTCGCTCGCAACTTCGAGCATCACTACCTGCGGCAAATCTTGTGTCGCTCCTCCGAACCCCGGCGGATGCCGCGACAAGTGCTTCATTAGCGCCCTGGCCGACGTCTGTGTCAATGACACCCCCGAGTGCCGTTGCAAGAACAAGGTTATCCTCGAGGCCAAGGTAAACGCCTGCGTCGACCTTGTTCCCCTCAACGTTTGTGTCGATCTCGACCTGGATCTTTTCAGCTCTACCTGGGACGAGTCGTGCTCTTGCATCGAGAGCGCCCAGGAATCTTGCTCGGCTACTGCTGAAGGCTCGGTATTGTCCTCTGCCTTCTCCACGGCCTGGACTGTCACCAGCCCGTCTGCGGCTCCCGCCATCACGGACGCTGGATCCGTCGACCCTTCAATCCCCATGACCACTTCGACGATCCAATCGACCCGTCTCCGCACCACGACAAGCGATGGCCACGAGCACACCGTCACTGAGACGATTGACATCAGCACGACCATTTGCCCCGCTAGCGAAGTTCCGTCGACTCCGGCTTCTTCCACGCCAATTTCTACCACTCCTTCGGAAGCTGGTGGACTTACCACTCCTGCTCCTTCTGCCTACACCACCTCGACTGTCCGTTCCACCCGCGTTCGCACCTCGACCAGCGGAACTCAGGAGCACACCGTCACCGAGACCATTGATGTGAGCACCACCGTGTGCCCCATTGAGGAGGCTTCCTCGTCCGCGTCGGTTGATGTGCCTTCGTACACCCCCGCTACCAGCGAGGCCAGCCAGACCCCCTCCGTCTCGGTCGACGTTCCTTCTTACACCCCTGCTCCCTCGGCCCCTGCCTCTGAGAAGCCCTCGCCCTCTGCTTCGGTCGATGTGCCCTCTTACACGCCCGCCACGAGCGCTGAGACCCAGACTCCCTCCGTCTCGGTCGACGTTCCTTCTTACACCCCTGCTCCCTCGGCCCCTGCCTCTGAGAAGCCCTCGCCCTCTGCTTCGGTCGATGTGCCTTCTTACACGCCCGCCACGAGCGCTGAGACCCAGACTCCCTCCGTCTCGGTCGACGTCCCTTCTTACACCCCTGCTCCTTCGGCTCCCGCTTCGGAGAAGTCTATTCCCTCGGCTTCCGTCGATGTTCCTGCTGAGACGCCTGCTACCAGCGCCGAGAAGCAATCTCCTACCGTCTCCGTTGACGTTCCGTCGTACACTCCCGCTCCCTCGAGCCCTGCTACTGAGAAGTCTTCGGTTGGCGGCATTACCAGCACTCCCGCGGCTTCGGTTGACGTTCCTTCGTACACTCCGGCTCCTTCTGCTTCTGTTGATGTTCCCGAGTCCGCTGTGAGCGAGCCTGCCACTAGTCCTGCCGCATCCAAGCCCATGGTCACTCAGTACACCACTGAGCTCGAGACTGTGACGAGCTGCAGCTGCACGGCCTCGGCCTCAAACTCTGGCGCCGTCAAGATTGACAACTGGACTCCCTCGGCCGTCAGCTCCGTCGCCGGCGTCACCAGCACGCCTGCCTGGAACGGCCCCGTCCACACTCCCAAGGGCCCGGCCGGAACTCCTGATGTCCAGCTCTCCACCATCATCATGAAGGCCATCCCCAGCCCCGCGCCCCTGAACGGCACCTCGTTCTACAAGGCCAGCAACGGCTCGGTCGTCCACTTCCACAGCCCTGCTCCCAGCGCCAGCGGCGTCCCCATTGTTGACGCTGCCACGGCTTCGCGCGTCTTTGCCACCGCCAGCGCCACGCCCTCGCCCTCGCCGGCCGGTGCCCGCTACGAGGGTGCCGCCACCAAGGGCAGCGTCAACATGGCCGTCGGCCTCGTTGCCGGTGTCGTTGCCGGCCTTGCGCTGTTTTAAACGTGAGATGTACGGATTTGGGTTTTGGGATTTCCTTGTTTCTCTCTTGTCCATTATTTAGCCTTTGAATGTTTCTTCTAGATGACTGGCTGGCTAGCTCGCTTGCAATACACAGTAGCATAGCAGCATCGACTTCTTTGCACCTCTCCTTTGTACTTTGTGTCACGATCTTCGGATGGGATTGATACCGTTCTCTTGTGGTAGTTAGCGATGGTGGGACGTGGGGGAATAATGGATGCACATCCCACTGCCTGATGTTCATCAGAAGGCGTGCGTTTTCCTCCTGAAATGCATAATTTCTAGTCCATTTCTGTGCGGTGATTTCTATCTTGAGTTTTCTGTTGATTCGCTTGAAGCGATACTATGGCTGTGCATACTGCTTGACGTTGTTTGTAGATGAAGTACACGCAGGCAGTGCTCACTCTCAGAGCAGACAGACGATGGCTGGAATCTAGAAGACAAGCACACCCATCTGTCAAAGTGGCTCTGCCCCTCGTACAAAAATCGGCTGTGCTCAGAATACTTTCGACGTCCAGTTTGGCGAGCGTGTGTTTTGATCAGCAAGGAGCAGGAGGTCAGAGGTGGAAGTTTTGTGAGGTCCGCAGATGTGAGGCGAGCAGGAAAACATTGTATTTCACGCAACTATTGCAGAATAGGGGATTGGAGGGGAATTTAGTGGATGCATTGGAACACTGTTCTCAGTATCTCACGCTGCACTGATCCATACTCTAATACCACCGGTGGCTGCTACATCCATCGCCAGGTGTAACTTCCTCGCCCGCTGAGTCGCTCAAGACCGAGCCCGAGTCTCTTCCTTCCTCTCTTGGTGCAAGTCCTCATTGGCCACCTTCCCTTCAATGCAAGTCTCGGGCACTCACCACTCTTCCTCATTCTATCCTCAACACCACCAACATTCGTGCTAGTCGGTCCCTCCATCTACCTTGCTTGTCCATTCAGCGCCGCCCGTTTATCAATTCGAGCATCTATCTCACGAACACAGTCTGCAAGCTGTTGATACCAACGTCAGCGGCTTTCAGGTCTACTTTTCAAGCCAGATCATCGAAGAACCCGCGGTGAGCTTCAACTTCACCTCACAACGATCGTATCTTTGAAGACCATTGACACGTGTGCCTGCAGATTCGGTTGCC